CGACTCCGAGCGCTCCGCCCATTTTCTATCTGTAGCGTCGATTTTTGTGGCCCAATTAGCAAGACTTTTCGAATGCGTGGAAAGCCTACGTATAAGTCGTACATAGCACTGCTTCTTTGCTTCGCCTCCAAAGCGGTTCACTTAGAACTAGTATCTGACTTATCCACTAATAAATTTTTAATGGCTTTTCAAAAGTGCGTCGGCCGTCAAGGAGTCCCACAGACCGTCCATTGCGACAACTCGACGAACTTCGTAGGAGCAAGTCGCCAGTTCCTGGAGTTGCGAACACGAATCGAGGAAGAGACGGACGCAATTCGCGAATTCGCATCAAAAAGCGGATGCGAATTTGCGTTCATACCGCCAAGAGCTCCGCACTTCGGGGGTCTGTGGGAGGCAGGCGTGAAGTCTGCAAAGCACCTACTCCTTCGGACGGTAGGGAGCCTGCTGCTAACGGCCGAGGAGCTGCAGACGACTCTTGTCGCGGTGGAAGCCGTCCTCAATTCCAGGCCCCTGGGAGCAATAAGCGAGGACCCAAGCGATGCCGGGGCTCTAACGCCAGGCCACCTACTAGTGGGAGGCCCATTGAGGGCTCTGCCAGCAGAGGTGACCCCGGACCAGCAGGGTCTGCTTGAATCGATGGCGAGGAGTCTCGTTGCTCAAGCAACAGTTTTGGCGGCGATGGTCAAAGAAGTATGTGCTCGGACTCCAATTGCGGAGCAAGTGTCACCGTCGCCTGCCAAACGTCGTCGTGGGAGAGCTGGTGGTTGTCGCCGAGGACAATCTGCCGCCCCAGCAGTGGCTGATCGGCAAAGTGACGGCAGTGCACGCAGGAGAGGACGGCGTCATTAGAGTGGCAGACATAAAAACGGCTAGTGGCGGAAATTTTAAAAGGCCGATCCACATTCTTTCTCCTCTTTGAAGCGAACAGACGTGTTTATTTTGTGCTCTCCGTTTTGTTTTGATTTTAATAAAAAAACGGCGTTTTTAATATTTATATTTAATATATTTCTATTGTTCTGAGAAGGCAATTCTCGGTTTATTTTTTATTTTATCGCGAGTGCATGCTTGTGGCCTTTGCATTTAATCATATAAATATTGATTCTTTTAAATTTGTGTTCTTGTGCATTTTTGTTTGTGCGCCATTAGCGCTATTAGCTCTGTGCGTAAGTTCTTGTTGTTGTTGGTTGATTATGTTTAACTGCACATCGCCTCTCTTGGTGTGCAAGATTTCGTGAGCAAGCAAGCACTCTATAAATAGAATACTCTCTCGCACTATCGCGCTCTCTCACCTTCTTTCAATTTGTGCTTTGATCTTTTTCTACTTTCTGCCGCTTGTTGGTGTTCTATACGCTATTAATCTTAATAACTCTCTTTTAACATTTGGCTGCGTTATTACAGTAGAGACCCATAATAATGGACC